CTTAAAGAAAGCTTTGAGATAGTGGACATGGATAATGGATTCTATTGCATTCGATTTGGTTTGAAATTGGATTACAATTATGTTTTGGAGAATGGATCTTAGATTATAGCCGACCATTGTCTTACTGTGAAGTGATGGAGCCCTGGATTTCTGTCAGGGGAAGCGAACATCGATACTATAGCTGCTTGGGTATGCCACTCGAATTCTACGACAGTACGATCTTGAGACAGATGGGAAACTTAATTGGCAAGTCAGCCAAAATTGATAGAACTACATTGAACATATTGCCAGGCAAGTTCGTAAGAACATGTGCCAAACTAGACTTGACAAAGCTTCTTGTTTTGAGAATAATCATAGGGAGTGGCAACGAGTAGAATATAAAGGCTTAAAGATGCTACATGTTCACTACGGAACGTTTGGCCACAATGATATGGAAGGTGAAGCCAAGAAAAAGGAAGAGGAAGGTTACACCGAAGAACATGCACAAAGACCGGCTGAGATTGAAAATTTTGTTTTCAAGGAGTTTGAGAATGAAAGGTTTGGACCATGGATGATTGCCAAGAAGAAATATAGAAAATATGTGAATGCTAAAATGGATGGTAACATTAAGCATCCGGTGGAAGAAGTTTCGAGGGATAGCACAGGTATCAATAGGGCTACAGGTTCACGTATTGAGGTTTAGGGAGGTGATGATGATAGTATGGAAGAGGTGGATATAGTACTAAAGACCTCAGAGGGTGACCAAGGAGCTTCATCTAGAACGTCTAGGGCGAATATTGCAAGCGATAGAGAGGTTTTGAAAAGGACTTGTAGGCATCAACTTTAGTTTCTAATAAGTGATAAAGGGAAAGGGATCCAGGGCCATGCCGTTCAAGTTGTTTCTTCCAAGCCTGTATTCAAGGAGAAAAAAGATGGTAGAAAAAGTCGGGGTATTTTGAAGGATGTTTCTAACATAGTTAATAACCCTCTAGCTAATCTTGAACACAACGAGGGGGAGGACACAATAATTTTTTTTAACGCATCTCCACACTAATGATACTCCAAACTTTGCAAGTTTTGAAGAAGATATGGCTTTAGTTGGGATAGATGTTAATGGGGGTGGCTAGAGAAAGAGCAGACCCTATGGATAATACTATTATCAAGTTAAGGAAGGTGGGTGATGATATGGAGGTTGAGGATCCTAGATCCAATGCTATGTAGTCTTGATTTGGAGTGTTGTTATATTACTTATTCTATTATTGTTTATGCTTAGTATCATAAGTTGGAATGTACGAGGGACAGCTTCAAAGAGATACTTTCGTAATTTGATATCCATGCATAGATTACATATTTGTTGAGGATCCTAGATCCGATGCTATATAGTCTTGATTTGGAGTGTTGTTATATTACTCATTCTATTATTGTTTATGCTTAGTATCATAAGTTGGAATGTACAAGGGACAGCTTCAAAGAGATGCTTTCGTAATTTGATCTCCATGCATAGATTACATATTTTAGTAGTTCTGGAACCAAGGACTTTGGGGAATCGTGCTACAAGGATATGTAAGCAAATTCTCAAATTTTTTTAGAGTGGAAGTAATTGGTTATTCGGGAATTCTAGAGAAGTTGAAATTAAAACATCAGCTTACTCTTCCCAACTTATACATGCATTGTGAGGTAATTGGGAGAGCCTGAGTGGCTGTTGATTGTAGTCTATGGGAGTCCAGAAGCTGAAGAAAATATCCTACTATGGGATTCTTTGAAACTTGCAAACACTTGTCATCGACTACCTTGGTTAGTTATTAGTATTTTAACCAAGTAATTTCAATGGAACAAAAATGCAGTAGACGAGATGTTAATGTCAACCAATGCCCAAAGATGCTAAAGTGTATGGATTATTGTAATTTGCTGGACTTGGAAGCTCTAGGGCAAAGTTTACTCGGTGCAACAAAAGGTTGGGGTCTGCAGTATACAAGAGTTAGATTTGATCGGACTTTAGCAAATTCTAAATGTTGTGTTCTTTCTCAATCTTTTTTCGGTTACTAACTTACCTAGATCACATTCAGATCATCATTCTATTTGTGTGAAGGAAAGTAACCAAGCAAATAATATGAACCGAGATTTGCATTTTACGATTTGAGTGTGCTTGGATGTTATAGGACGATATTTTGTAAGAGTTGTAATGGAATTAGCACTATGTGAATGATAATATGTACACAAATCTAAATTCTCTTACAAATTCTTGGAAGATTTGGAGTAGAAAGGAGTTTGAAGATCTGTACAGGAAAAAGATAAGACTTCTTGCAACGTTGATTGGGATTTAGAAACATTTAGATAATGGCCCCATTGATTTTCTACAAAACTTGGAAGTTATATTGTGGAAGAATATAACTTGGCTTGTTTTCAAGAAGAGATTTTGTCAAGGCAAAAAGCACAAGTAGATTGGCTCAAATTAGGGGACAACAACAAGAAGCTTTTTTATAATGTACTTCAGGAGAGGAGATACAGGAAAAATAGATAAATGTTGTCAAAATTTGGACCATTGATTTAAAAAACAGTTTTTTTAAATAAATGAATATGATGGCTATTGTATAAGTAGCATGATTGTAAAAAATATGTTGCAAATTATCCACTGTCGAAATGGGCCAAATCAATCTATAGTAACCATCTAAAACATCAATTTTCTGTAAGTGAAAATTGGAGAAAGAGTTTTATTATTAGTACACCGGGTGTACAGCCCTTGCACAAGAGGAGGTCCACGCCCAATAAAAAAAGTCATGGGCTCCCTGTGAGTGGGTTGTACACCTAGTTGTATACTTATAAAAATGTAGAGCCTCATTTGAAAAATGATTAACATTTGAAAGTTTAGAGTAATACTGTAATAGCCATTTTTGGAATTAATTGACAAAAATACCCTTACAATTTATCCAATTACCAGCTATATCCCAAAACCCTTTACTTTTCCTAAAAATTTTGAAAATTGCCAACATATTTTCCCTATCCCTCCCCTATCATCACCACTCAATCAACATCACCAATCTATTTATGTTCACCAACATGTCGAGATTTGATTTTTCTCAACAATTAAATGTTAAGTGGTCAAAGCAGAAGGAGAAGGTAGGAGTTGGAATGCAAAAGCGATAGCTAAAAAGGAAAGAAAAGATAGGAATCTAAGGTTCATTTGATTGCAAAAATGAAATTTGGGTGGAAAGAAAACGAATTGAAGGGAATTGAATTGCCTAGAATTTTTTTAGTGGGAATTATCAATTAATAGTGTTTGATTGATATAATTTTCTACCTGAAAAATGTTAAAATAGAAATGTCTTTCAGTGTTCGTTTGGCTTTGTTTTTTTATGGAAATTGTCAGTTTAAGAGATCTCTACTTCTACAATTATTCTTATAATTTGTTTCCATTGTAAAAAAAAAACAAAAAAAAAATTCTAAAAATTATCTATATTTTAGTGTTCGTTTGACTTTATTTTACATGAAAATTGTCAATTTAAGGGATATCTTCTTTTACAATTGTTCCAAGAATTTGTTCCCAAAAAAGGAAAAAAAAAAAAAAAAAGGAAGGTAGGTAGAACACCAATTCTTACCACCAAATCATGGAAAATGCAAGTGTGTGGGGGAAAAGATGAAAAACGAATTTCATGGAAAACTTTTGCCAATATACACACAAAATTGGTGGAAAATGAAATTTCATGGAAATTGTGCCAATCAAACATGGCCTAAATTATTGAGTAAAATGCTTGGAAGAGAGACATATAGGGATGTGGGTAAGTGGGGGCTCTGCTTAGGGTTTTAAAAAACTTGTCCATATTTGTTTGGTTTTTAAAATTTTTACAAAAAGATATTTATGGTGTAATTCAATTAAAATTTACCATATATATAAATGTTCTTCAAAATGACCTTTTCAAAAATGCACATTTAAATAGGAGTAAATCATTTTGTATATAGCACCGATCACTTAAAAAATTAGAAAATGCTACTCATACTTTCGGAAATGTACATCTTGATTTACACCCCTCGGGAGGTTCTGCACGATAAATTATGGGCTGCCCACAATAAATCATAACACATTAAGGGATGTAAAGGTAGCCGTACACTATTGTCTACATGTATAACATCTTTCTAAAAAACAAAGTTGAAAAGGGTTTGTTAGCCCCTTTCCCTCGTAGAAATGGTAAAAAAAATCCATCAGACTCGAAACTCAAGAGGCCACGACCCGAACGGGATGGAAATTACCCACTTAGTCGGGTATTCGGGGTGGATTTTTCGCCCAGATGCGGGTTCGGATAACACCCATGCTCGCCCTGTTAATTTTTTTTATTAGAAATTCAGTACTTTAAATGAAAAACTTCACATAATTTCATTAATTTTAATAAAAGATGACAATTAAAATTATTAAAGAATATGATAAAAATAAAAATTTTAATTAATGAAATATCGGAATAATGTAATTTTTAAAAATAAATTAATTAATTAAAAATTTTCTTAATTATATTATTATTTCACTTTAGTGAATGGAGACGATTTAAAAATAATAATAATAATAATAAATTTGAGAGAGAGTGAGAACAACAACGGGTATATAAACGGGTAGAGGCCCCGCTCCGCCCTGTCTTAAGCCGCTCATTGCCATCCCTATTATACCTACTCCTACAGTTCCTACTGCCTCCTCTTTTAACTATTTGGAGGAAAAATAATTCTCTGCAAAACTTTTCAATATTTTGTTTCCATATATCGTTAATTAAATGTATTGACAAGAATAAAAATCTAGTATGGATTATTTATTGTTGTAGAAGAGGTTGTTGATTATGCGGCAGAGATTTTTTGGGGTTTCAAGGTATGCAGGTTGATCAGATAATGTTAAGCTGAGACCTGGATGTGGTACCCGCGGCGGAAACAGAGTACTTGGCTCGTGTTTGGACAACTGATTCGCTGAGGCCAATTCTGATCCCTCAGTGCTGCGTCCCCATGGCGGCGGCATTACTCCTTCACTCTCTTCCATCAAGGTTAAATAATCTTTTTTTTTTCCGAAATGTAGAGTTTTTAATCGTTTCGGAGTCCTTGAAAAATCTTTGTTCAGTGTATTTTCAGATTGATTAGATGTTGATTTAAACCGCACTTTTTACAGAGCGCGCATTATTTCTTTGTATGTATGTGTAATTAAGGGCTGGCATTTAAAGCTCTCACCTTTTTTTATTATATTCTTATGACTGGATTCGATAGTACTAATTAGTTGGATAAACTAATGAAGAGAAGTATGTGGATTCCTACATGTATCTTTGTACTTATGAAAGATACATACTTTTTCAATTTCATGGTTCTCCATTATAACACATGATGTAAGTATGTGATACCTTTGTTGCTATGTGAGTATGTGAGACATACATATTGTTTTGCTGCATCTTAATTTCAATGGAAAATGCATATGGGAGTACCAAATAATTTACTTTTATCAAACAATCAATAAAGTTCCCTCCCCCATCCCCGTTAAAATTTAGAGCTATGAAAAAGGTTTATGGCTGTTACTTTTAAGAACTTAAAAAATTTCTCTTTTCCAAATTTTGATTGTTGGAAGAAGAAAACTTTGCAGCCTTGTGATAATTGATACTAAAGATGATGATTGATACTGACGCCTTAATTCTTGGCTGTACACGTAAGATGTGTAATTGCTGTAAATATGGGCGGAAAGCAATGCATATGCTTTAGGTGGGCATGCCTGGAGTTACAGCAGGTCCATAAAGAAACCTACGGATATGGAAATTTTACTTGAAAGTTTTGTATGAGATTTTTGGTTTATGTCCATTGAGTGTACGATAGATGAGGTTCAGTTACCCAATTAGCCACATATGCCATGCTTAACATTTTAGATTATGATAATGGGAGTACCAAATTACTTATTTTCATTACCCCTACCCCTACCCCTCCCCCTTGAAATCTAGAGGTATGAAAATGGTTATATAGCATAGTTACTTTTGGGAACTTAAAAAATTTTTCTGTTGCAAAATTTGATTGTTGGATGAAGAAAACTGCGCAGCTTTGTGATAATTTAGTTGTTTTGTGCTTTAAAACTAGAGATGATTAATGGTATTGATGCCTTAATTCTTAGCAGTACATATAAGAGTGTAATTGCTGTAAATATGGGCGGCAAGCAATGCATAGGCTTTAGGTGGGAATGCCTCGTGTTACAGCACGTCCATAAAGAAACCGATGGATAGGGAAACTTTACTTGAAAGTTTGTATGAAATTCTGGTTTATGTCTTATGATAGACGAGGTTCAGTTACCCAATTAGCCACATGTGCCAGCCTTAACAATTTAGTATTATGTAAACAAATTTGGATTCCATTATTGACCATGGTCGTATCCTACATCCTGAATCTAGCTTGTAAGGGAGTCTCTTCTCTATTAATATAAACCAAGAACGACAACTAATTTTACCCTGCCCTTGATCTTCATCATCCAATAAGCAAAACAAAAAAATAAAATAAAAATAAAAATAAAATAATAAGCGACTTTATATAAGTACATACTATATATCATATATGATTAATTCTGATACAAAATAATACAAAACCAAGTAATTGTAGGAATTGTAATATCGCGGAACGACACTATTTATACTTTCATTCTCAATTTGGTTCTCACACTTTACTATAATGATTCTATATATACGCATATGATAGGATTGTCCTATCAAATTATGATATGATTTAAAACTATTCAAATTATGACATATCCGATGTTTAGTGGATTTATCCACACCATTTGAGGTTCCATGATTTGTCGTTCGAAATGTCGTTATTTGAGTAGACTGTTATTATATAATTGTGAAATATTCAAAAAAAGAACTTCAAAATTTGGCATCTACTCAAATCACAATCCGCCTCTTTGTTACTCAATCATGACATCTCCAATGTCGAGTCGACCCGCCTGCCCATCTCGTTTCTCTCTACTGCATCATTTGTGTTGACAATGTATGAGTATGGGTGTTTGGCTTCGGAGTCTATTTTCAGAATATGTTTACTCGAAGAAGGATGTACTAAGAGTAATCTCGAACATTTTTAAGGATACTTGAGGTTGCAGTGACTCAGTATGTTTGTCTCATGGGTTTTGAACTCCTCTTCATCCATCCTTTGGCCGATTGTCAGTTTTCGAAGTTCAGCTTTAAGGCACTGCTTTCCAACTTTAGGGTGTTTAAGTTTCTATAATGGACATGCTTCTATAGACACATTGAGCATGTATTCTGATTCTGAAGGTGCATTTGGATGTTCATAAAATGTAATGACAAACGGGGCATGCTATTTTTTATGGCCTCTAATTTACATGTTACAAGGTCTGTGGTTGCTCATCACCATGATAAATGTTTCAATATATTTTACTGTTTCAGACAATAACAAGCAATTTTTATTGTGTATTCAACTGCTAGGGACTACTGCTGCTTTAATCAAAGCTGAGGTGCCATGGTATTTCAAAGGGATCTTTCTGAGGAGAAGCGTATCTTGAAAAGAGTGAAGGGGTAATCATTTTGTAGTTACTGTATTAGAGATATATAATGTCTTACTTGATTGTTGATAATATTTCTTGATTACTCATTTGTAAACTTCAACATTTGTCCTGAATTGTGAACTGATGTGTTCAGTTTTATGTTCTCTTGGCCAAGTGGCAATGGTTCGACAGTTCAACCTGCTGGATGTAATCCGCCACCACTGATAGTCACCTGCACCAAACCAGCAACTTCTACCCCAAAGTTAGTAGTAGTTTCACGAGTGGCAGGACTAGCTCCCTCTTAACGCTGGTGGGGCATCTCCTGCTTGCCCAGCTCACCATGTAGGATTTTCCATGAACCCTGCATCTCAACTTTCTGCCCCATTAAGTCAGGCTTCAGTATCACTTATTACTCTGGTTTCTGACAAACCACTGGCTCCAGCTGCAAGATTGGCATATCAATTTGGCTTGGATGGCCGGTTGGGTTTGTTCAACCAAGAAAGGCATGGGAGCCTTTGTCAGGATGTTCTCAAGAGTAAAACAGCTCCACTTCTAGATGAATACTTTAGTCTGAGACTTTTGGATGAAACATTAAAATGCATCGGGGAATTGAAATTTAGGGCTCAGCATCCTGAAATTGTCAAAGAGGCCATTCCCTTGGATTGAACAAAGGCCACCTTGTGTTGAACCAGTTGCAAAACTTCTGGAATACTTGCTTGCTGATAAAGTCTTCACCAAGGACATGGGAACTGGGTCCTTCCTCCATGCAGCACTGTTGGATGATCTTGCCTAGTGGTGGCAAACGAGCCCGTTGGCTCGGGTGGGCAGGGTGGCCCATGGCTTGACTCGACAAAGCCTGACCCAGGTCAGCTTGGAGCTTATTTGCATAAGCCAAAGCTCGGGCCAAGCCTCGAAAATGAGATGTGGACCGAGCTCAAGCTAGCCTGCGAGCCTCACGAGCCAAAACTTGTTGGATAAATTTTCAACCAAATAACTAGCATACTAGTTTCATTGCATAATGCCCGCCACACGTAGTTCCCATCACCAAATTCAAACGTCTCTCCTTCTCATCACCAAATTCAAACCTCTCTTAGAGAGGTTCAATTTTCAGAACGTCTCGAAGAGACATTTTCAACCTTACAATTTTTTTTCTTATAAATATCCAATTCAAAATAACTTTTTTGCTATCGGTCTCTTTTTTAATCTCGAATTTATTCTGAAATCTTTGCTGTTTATTGTTTTGCTATCAGTATTTTTTCTGTTAATTATTTGATAGTTACGAATGGATTTCACAATTGATGTGGTTAATCAATTTTTGGGCAGTTGGAGCACTCCATACGGTCACAATGTATTCAGTTGACTTGGATGATATCCAAGAAGAAGAAGTGATGGAAACAAAACATTCTAAAAAAGAATTATCGGATACTTGGCAACATATGACATGAAAAAGAGTTTGTATTAAAAATGGAGTAGATATTTGGAAAGAGTATTGCAATTATTATAATAAAGAACTTAATTGGAAACCCGTTTCAAACACGTCTTATTTGAATAGGCATTGGCAAAAGTCCTGCAGAATGAGACCGGGTGGTGTCGACTCACATCAGTCTGCCAAACTTTAGTTAATAAAAGTTGATAGTCCTTAAGAGGAGACCATTATGTAATATATTTCGTTATTGTTCCAATCTTGCACAACTTTCACATCGAAGGAGTCTGTGCGATACATAAAATTATTTGTATTTTTTCAGAATTAAACTACTTTGCTTGAATGTTTTTGACATAATGGTAGACATTCTCTCACATATGCGTGGATCCCGCGCAAATAAAGAAATCCAAAAAAGAAGTGAGTCTCTTCCCATTTTGAGTGTCAGTCAGCCATTATGTCAAAAAAATTCGGGCAACATAGCATGATTGATTGATTTTTATTTTATTTTATTTTATCCTACTGTGCAATGAGAAAGTTGCTATTTAATTATGCTTCATGTGCTTAGATTGATAAGATTCTCCCCTTTTTCCCAATTACATTTTTCAACACCCCCACTTTCCCTTTAATTGCGTTTATGCTTTTTTACCCACATATCCAATTAGTAAAGTCCACAAACATGCATCAGAATCTTTAGTCGTGCATCCATCAGAATCTTTAGTCATGAATAGATCACGAAAATAGGAGTTATGTTATATGTGCCAATTTGGTATACAAAGTAATATATACATCAATCATTTCAAAAATAGATTTTTAAATAATTAGAAATCAATGGCTTGAACTTTGTCAACACTTATTTTGTCAATCAAATTTGTAAACACGCTTTATACAAATAGCATAATATCGAAAGTAGATCTTGTTTCAGTCCTGTGAAAGGTACGATTTTATATAATGTTATTGCATGATTCTTGTGAAAATTGACTCTTGAGTCTATGTTTTTTGACACATCCTATTTCTTGTCAATTTGTCAAAGCATGTGTTTGGAGTTGTTTATTATCTATTTAAATTATAAATATATAAAATGATTTTATATAATGTTATTGCATGTTTCTTGTGAAATTTGACTCTTGAGTCTATGTTTTTCGACATATCCTATTTCTTCTCAATTTGTCAAAGCATGTGTTTGGAGTTGTTTATTATCTATTTAAATTATAAATAGATAAAATGTATGATGAATAAATGTGTATTATTTGTAGGTATTGTGGATAAAATTTGATTTGATTAATTATAAACAAATTATACCACAGTGCTTGTCACCGTGCCACATTTTACAATTTGGATTACTACTTCATTTGTGCTACTTACAAATAATAAAACTTAACAAGTTTCGACCCGTTAGAGTTCAATAAAAATTAAAATTTTAATATATTCTTAAATAAATGATTAAAAAGTTGATAAAAGTTATAAATCGCATAAAATATGTGATTGAAAATGATTCTAAAAAATGGTCAAATAAGGACTTCATTTCATGGTTATTTAATTTTGCATTACTTTATTTTAAAACTTTCAATTTGTTAAAAATGAGATGTGTATTGCTTAATCCAGCCAACCCTGTCCAATTACCATCACTTAGATTCATTGTCGCATAAAATATGTAATTGAAAATTATTTTGAAGAAAAATGAGTTTTAAAAAAAAGACAACTTACAAAAATATCCTTAAACTTAGAGGTATTCTGAAAAATCATATGAAAATTTTTTGAAAGTAAAATACTGTGTAATATTAAAAAGTGACACAATTTTACTTTTTTTTTAATAAAAATTGTCACTTTTATTAAAAAAAAAGAAGGTGATTGATAAAAGTGACAAGTACCAAAAATAAATAAATAAATAAATAAAATTGACAAAAATTGAAAAAAAGAAGAAGAAGAAGAAGAAGTAACAAATACTTAAAAAGACAACAATTTTATTGACATAAAATCACTTATACAATTTCGAACAAATGCACCAATGTCTCTCCAAATGAAAACAATCACTTTACTATTTTTCAAGCACCACACTTTTCTCTCACTTGCCCACCATCTCTCCCTCAATCACTCTTCCTTTATTATGAACTTTGCTGTTTATACGTTGATTTTTGACACGTCGTTTGACATTTGCATATTTGTCAAATGTTAATTGGATGGAAAACTGTTTGAAATTTAAACTGTCTAATACCGTGATGTCATGTGGCAAAGTATAAACCAAAGTGTATACCATAATGTACATATAACAAGGTTATTTTATTATACATTGCCTCTTTCTTTCTCTCTTTTTCTTCCAGCTTCTTACACACTTAGATGCAGCAAACATAAGCTTCCAGATTTCTAGAATTATCAATAAATGGCGGTCGCAAAAAGACAGCAAAGTAGGTTCCTAGAAAGTTTTTCAATGGGGGTGGGATAGAAAATTTTATGAAACATTCTAGGTTCTTCTTCTAATGTCAGCAGTTTAAGAAAAAATTGGAAAGTTGGTGATGATTCTTCATTTGTTTATCAGACAATTTGGCTGATGAGCTATTTAGCGTTCGAGTTTCTTCTTTCTTGGTCTGTAAGCAAAGAGAACTAAAGTTTAGATTTCATTATGGCTTCCTTGAACGTTGCCATTTTTTCTTTGTACTCAGTTGAGAGATTTTGGATTTTGGGGGTTTGTCTTAGTTTAAAACGTAATTAATACGGGATTTACGTGATGTTTATTAATTTAGGGTATTAATCTAATTGAGTTGCTTAGAGCATTTGGCCTAATTTCCCCTTTAAAAATGGGTCAAGACTTCATTTGGTGGTTATTTTAAAATAATGTATTGCATTATTTTATCTCAAAACTTTTAATTTATTAAACATGAGATGTGTATTAATTATTGAATCCATCCAACTCTACCCAACTACCGCCACTTTTATTCATTGTCACATATGAAGGGTGGGGCCGGAGATTATTTATCGTGGGTCCCACACATGTGAGAAGGATGTAAGGCAGTGTCTCCACTTTTTTCACCATTTTCATCTTGCTTCTCTAATATGAAAGAAACAAAGTGTGCACTATCTATAGCATTCGTGGCACTCCTCTTAATGTCCCAAAGTTTTCCTTCTTCAGCTCATCAAACTATCACTAAATCACCAAATGGAATTCAAAGTCGAAACTCTGTTGCTATCGACTCTCGAAATCTTGGCGTGCAAATTAAAAGGAGGGTACGCATAATACCAACCTCTGCCGGCACTGCCTCTCGTGCAAAACCAAAATCATCAGCAAATCGTAAGGACAAATCTATATTTCAACTGTGTTCTCTTCTCGGTGTTTCCATTTTCTTTGGCTTTTTCTTGATCTAAAGATTTGGCCCTTCTTGGTTATTACTTTACCTGCATCACCTCCCTTTGCTCGTGAGCAGTTTGGAAGTAAATGAAAATGGAAAAACTCATTTTAGATTGTTGTAATATGTTTTATGTCCTTCGTTATATTGCTGATATGAAACGAATAAGGTATTGAGTTCAAGTCGATGATTTGTTATGAAATTTTCTGGTAATAACTTGTGCAGACGAAGGAACATTTGAAAAACAAAACATATATGAATAAATTTCTTTATTTTTCCAATAAATGAAGTGATAAAATGTGTTCAAAGGATATCTCTAATGCTTTGGGCTCACAGCAAATATAATCATTTATTGCTGCTGTTGATGTGTCGTTGTTGCTTGCCAATATTGACTTTTGACACCAACCAAAAAAAAAAGTTTAAATTTGCGTGTGAAATTTAAAATATGAATTATGCTACTCAATTAGGGTTGGGTAGGCCCCTGTGACAGAAGTTGAGGTGGTACCACACCGCACTTGATTTGAATTTGTAAAAAAAGGTTGGACCCCAGCATTAAGAGCCCGTCCTGCCCCTAAAATATCGTGAGAGGGGTTAATTGCGGAATTTGAATTTGTAGTTCTTATGACAAACACAAGTCAAATATTAGGTGGACAATTCTTGGTGTTGCAGAGTTGTAGTTCCAATAACAAACACAAGTTAAACATTAACGTTCAATTTGGATATTTACAATCGTGCATTAAGTAATAAATATGGTTGAGGTTGATACGAGAATGTTTCGATCTCTTCTGTTTGAAATTTTCAAAATTTGGTGTATCAAAAGTTATGTGAATTGTCTCTTTTATAAATAAAATACAACCCAATTGAAGTATTGCATCGCAAACCAATATGAGCTAGAAAGGAACTGAGCTTCAAAATCAATAATTTCAATGAGGTAAGGAAAAAAAGAAGTATTTAGAAATGGAAAGGAGGAACTATGAAGGTGCTTATAGGTGTCTTAAGGATTTGTTGAAAAATAATATAAACTATGAAATAATTTTGAGCACATGTTATAAAACTTATTTAGAGTTCGTTATGGTTTTTGAAAAGTTAAAAAGAGTTTTTAAGACTCAAAACAACTTTTGACTCGTTTTATTTAGAAATGGAACGGAGGAAGGTATTTAAAAAGAGTTTTTAGAAGAAGCTGATATCATGTTGTTTCATCTAAAAGTACTTCTAGAACAGAAAGCTCTTTTAAAAGTTAGTTTCACATAAAAATTAAGACAGTTTTCTTGAAAAGATTTTCCACAGTAAACAAAAGTAAAAGTTAAGCTCAATGGAATGGGCACTTAAGATTCCACCATTTCATGTAGTTAGGTTCTCCATACTATTTTCACAATCATGTAATTGATGATAGTGCATGTAAATTACACATGCGGTAATCCTTAGTTACTCAAATTCTAGTACATGAGACACATGTACATTGAACCAGACAACGGAGGCGATCCAAGAAATTCGCTCAGTGCAGGCACAATTTAATCGATGTCAAATTTCGAGTCTTTGGTCATGGATTTAAGGATTAAAAAAATATTAAACAATAGTACAAAAATACTAAAAATGATAGTTCATAAGTTACACTTATTCATTGTGAGTTTTCATACTTTGATATCGTTGTACAATAATTTCATTATCAATCTTAAAAAATGTATCCCATTCAAAAAAATTGAATTTTTATGGTAGGATGTATTGCTTTTTTGTCTTATAAAAAACTTGAATATCTCGTTGTTTACATAGAAACTCTGTCAATTTATAGATGTATTTTATTCAAGATGAGAAGATAAAACTTTGATCAGTCATATTGCAAGCGCCTATTACACTTATCTTTAGCGTACTAATTCAACAATAATGTCAAGTTCCACTTATTCACGCGTAGATGAGTGACTGAGAATGACGAATAATCTATTTTTCATAGTGAGAAAGAAGAAGAAGTTGCCCATGAACACGTAACAACAAAGTTTACATTCATAGACATAAAAGATGAATCAAATTACCCAAATAAAGCTTTCCAGAAGATCCACCAGCAATTTTTCTCCTTAAACTTTCTTCCAAGCACATGATCCATAATTAATTTCCCAAAATCGATAAAAAAAATAAAAATTCTTTCTTTATTCCACAATTAATCATTCAATTCCATAAGCATCAAATCTCAGACTTCAAAAAATATCCTTAAGATCCACAAAATTATCATAGAAATTAAATCATCCAAAATCCCCAAAAGTTCATTTCTTTTTAGTTAACAGAGAAACTCGAAAAGTTGACAAATATTTTCCATCCCACCATTGCATTCAAAATATGAGCTCTCAAAATTATTTTAAAAAAGTGTGGAATGGGCCTAGGCCAAAAGTTCAATGTGCGCAGGTACTCACACGAGACCATATGAGGTTCTGTCCCTACCAGACAAGACAAACCTTACAACACAAGTTTTTTCCTAGTTTGATATTTGGCACGAATTATTCTTTTTGTACAACCGGGGTTGACAATTCCGATTGACAATGTACTCACAGGAGTGGGACCCACAATTTTTCTATTCAGCGTGGACTCCCTCCCATGTGTTTAATTGTCAATCGAGGTTGTCAACGCTGATTGTACACATAGTACAACTGATTTGGCACATATCTAAGGGACTGTTTGATAACCTTTTATTTTCTAGGGAAAATGGAAAGCGAATTCTAATTTTCACTTTTGACCTGTTTGATTGAATTTTTTTTTAAAGGAATTCGTTTTCCACCTTTGGCCGTCATATTAGCATTTTTCATCTTTTTCTTGAATTCAAATTCTCACCAATTTCCTTTTGTCGGGTTACAGCAACGATTTTTAAAATTTTTAATTATTATTATTATTATTTTTTTTTTTTATTTTTTTTATTTTTTTTATTTTTTATTTTTTTGGCAATGGAAATAAATTCTAAGAATTATTGTAAAAAAATTATATCCCTTTAATTGACAATTTTCATGTAAAATAAAGTCAAACGAACACCAAAAGATTGATGATTTTTTTGATTTTTTTGAAAACAAATTTCATCCCCAATACTAGTAAATTCTATCCTTTTAATTGACAATTTTCATGTAAAATAAAGTCAAACAAACACCAAAAAATACTTTTATTTCAACATTTTTCACGTGAAAATTTATACCAATTAAGCACAATAATTTACAATTTACAAGAAAATAATTTATAGGCAATTTAATTCCCTGAAATTTATTTTTTTTCCACATAAATTTCATATTTGTAATCAAACGGACCCTAAAAGTTCAAATATGAATTACTCTTATCCAAGGCAGCGTAGGTGCCCCGAGGTCATTTGTAGGTCTTGTGCTTCTATATCCACGTCATATAGATAAGCTTTCAAGGAAGTCACTTTGTATCCATTTCCCCTAAAAGCTCTTATAGCCAGACAAAGTATTTTTAAAATATTATTCATAAAAGTCAAAAAGCAACTTCTTAGCTTCAGAAAATGTTTTTGACTATTCAAAAGATCCGCCAAATGGGCCGCCCTTAATTTCTGACTCTTTTTTTTAGTATTTCTTTTCAATCCAATATAACGTGAGAAAGAATAAAAATCCATGAACCAAATGTGCTGATTTAGAAAGAATATAGCGTGATGCAAATCAAGCATATGAACGTTGAAAAGCATTTTATTCCCTTAACCTTTTATCAGTATACTTTACAGCTTTGGCTTGTTTTAATACAAATTTTTTAAGATCTGTGTTCCATTTCTCTTTTATTAGTTAATTTTTTAATTAGATCTTCTAGGCCAGCAGGTCTATAGTGAAACTTATATATAATCCCAATCCCAATTCTAACTTTGCACATTCACCTCAGATCTCATCTACCAAAATTGAACCATGAAAAACCAATTAATATCATTTCTCTGCTGCATAATATGTACACAAATGTTGGCTATGGCGTTCGTTTCATCTGCAAGAACCACCCCAGAAGCCAGAGATCATCAACCTGGGATGCAGTCCAAACAATTTGGTAGGGATGTATCTTTCAAAATCAACCATTTTTTATTTAATGCACTTATTCTTGAACTAACAATTTTATTTTGGATTTGTACTTTACAGCCATTATATTTTCTTTCTTTGTGAATTATCACATAATTTTTTCTCATTACTACTGTTTTTCACAACTTATACACTAAAACTATCAAGAAAATATCCTTTTAATCCTGAAAATATACCTAATAGAAAAACTAGCGCATAATTCCTAGTCATGATCTTGCGGATCCAAACAGTACATATAATATCGCCAAATATTTGATATTTTTTCACCATATCATCGACGGACGACGGGTGTTAGAAATAGATTCCAGTTAATTCCAGAATATTCTAGCTCATGTTTATTTGTTAATTAGTTAGTGATTAGCCTATTAATCAGCAAATTAGTCAGTTAATTACTCGTCTTTTTCTCTATAAATAGAGTCATTGTATTCATTAATAAATCATTGGATTATATTCTCCAATCCCTCCTATGGAGGTTTGTCTTACTCCTATTGTGGAGTGTTTTCTCAATTAATAAATTCTAACATGATAGGATTTCTTCCTGCTGCTTTTAGCATAATTCTGGAAAGTGTTATTCCAGGCAAAGATTGAGTTCCTGTCTTCAGAAAATGGCGGCAACAACATCAAATTTCGTCCTTGATTCTTTGCAATAAAATTTCTCCTCTTTCATATTTTGGTTCTCTGAACTTTCAGAGATCTTTATGGATGGTTAGAGTCTCCACTATTTCTTGTTTCTCAATCAGATCTGGTGACATATGGCTGGAATTGAGAACTGGAGGCATCATCCCAAAGTGAAGCAGAGCCAAAATTCTTTAATCTTCAAGATGAACTATTGTTGATCTCCATAGTCCATCTTGAGGGGGCGTGGTAGTAATACATTCCAGAATATTCCAGCTCATGTTTATTTGTTAATTAGTTAGTGATTAGCCTATTAATCAGCAAATTAGTCAGTTAATTACTAGTTTTTTTTCTCTATAAATAGAGCCATTATATTCATTAATAAATCATTGTATTATATTCTCCAATCCTCCTATGGAGGTTTGTCTTACTCCTATTATGGTGTGTTTTCTCAATTAATAAATTCTAACAACGGGTTCATAAGTTATCTTACAACTATACTAATTTTATTTCATATGAAATTGTTTGCAGAAGTGAATCCAAATGTGACTGAACCAGATACTGGAGGCCATCGGCACGATTATTACAGAGTGGACAAAGTTTTTCATGCAAGAAGAGGGACTTCTGGAGGGTCAAGTCTTGTTAGGCGTCCAACAAATTCACACAGTGGCTCCAATTCCTTAACAGCAACTCTATTTCATATAATTAAAGGGTGGCTTGTTTTCATTTTGTTTTTCCGGTTTCCCTGAGGAAGCTTTATAATTGCTATTTATTGCAGCCATGTAATGGAGTTTTACACAAACGTGTGTAGCAAATCAAATCATGAAGCATACTTAAATCTTATATTATTATTATTATTTTTTCCCATTTTGGTGTTCGCAATTTTGCATCATAATAAGATGATATATGTCAGTAAGAACAAATTTAATAGTTGTACATGTTAAATCATTATCCATATTGTTTGGGCTACATTATTCAAAATGTGCATATTTCTCTCTTATTTTTAACCGCACATTTTTCAATAAAATAATATTACACGTAACCACACATTTTTCAAAAGAATTATTATTTCAAAATACATTTTTTTATGGAATCAAACAGGGCTAATCCCAAGCCTTTAGAGCATTTTAACAGCTTCAGAGAACATTCAAGCGTTATTCGATGTACATCTACTTATTACTTCAATGATTCTGCAGTTTAAAGGTTCATCTGCTTCCGCACCTTGTAATTCCATTAATCAATTTTATATGAGAGACGTTATAAGTACAAGAAAAATCAGCAGAAACGTGTGGGTTTTTATTGGAAGATAAAATTAAAAAAAGAGAAAATCAGGCCAACTGGGTGCTGCCACGACATCACCCTGTCCAAATTCTGTCCAAAAAACCTGTACTTTCCATGTTGGTATTTGCACTTTTGCATCATAATAAGATGATATATGTCAGTAAGAACAAATTTAATAGTTGTACATGTTAAATCATTATCCATGTTGTTTGGGCTACATTATTCAAAATGTGCATATTTCTCTCTTATTTTCAATCGCACATTTTTCAGTAAAATAATATGACACGTAACCACACATTTTTCAAAAAAGTTATCATTCCAAAATACATTTTTTATGTAATCAAACAGGGCTTATCCCAAGCCTTTAGAGCATTTTAGCAGCTGCAGAGAACATTCGAGCCTTATTCGATGTACATCTACTTAATTACTTCAATGATTCTGCAGTTTAAAGGTTCATCTGCTTCTGCACTTTGTACTTCCAATCATCGATTTTATAGGAGAGCCGCTATAAGTACAAGAAAAATCAGCAGAAACCTGCGGGTTTTTATTGGAAGATAAAATTTAAAAAAGAAAGAAAAACAGACCAACTGGGTGCTGCAACGACATCACCCCGTCCAAATTCTGTCCAAAAAACCTGTACTTTCGGATTAAACCATCTTATACAGTTGGTTTCTACTGTTTCCAGAACTACAGTTTATGTTTGATTGGATTATTCGGAAATAAAACAGGCCAAAAATTTATATCTCCCCAAAAGTAACAAAAATAAAGTCCAGGAAATAAAATTAGGCAGAATGTAGAAAAATCACGAATTACACGGACAGTAATAACTACAGATTGGTGATATGAATAAATCTATATAATATAAAACGTGCAACAGAAGCAAGAGTACAAGTTGCAGCATCAATTAGAATAAAATCAAAGAGTTTTGCCAGAAATCCCGGGCCAATGTGGCTCGGGAGTCGGGACAAGAGGCAGTAGTCAAAATCAAAGGACTCGATCGAGCAGCTATTACTTTCATCGTACTTCTACAATGGCCATTAGACATTACTTGCACCAGGTCCAGTCAAGTCACTAGTAGAGCTTGACAGTTTAAAAATAAATCTTTCCATATCTTCTTTCCCCGTCTGTTTGGAAACAGTTGCCAATGACCATATCTTTCAATCTTTCAATGCGGAAACTAGAGCTCGCGATATAATTGTTAGGCTGATTGATATTTTTCAACTTTTTTTATTTTTTATTTTTTAAACGAGTGCATATGCAATAGCTAAATCCAGATGGATCAATATACTCTTAATGCGTGCTTTAATCTTTTTGCAATCAACATAACTTCATATCTCCTAGCCTTCAATGTTCTTCGAAAACTCCAAGAAGACTATACATTTTCTCTTTATGTTTAAGTGTGAGCATTATTTAATTGAATAAAAAATTTTAATCTCTTGTAATGTATAGGAAACACGTTAATATATATAGAGACAATGTAATAAAAGAAAATTAAAATAGAAAAGAAAACGTTATTATTATTTTTAATTACAATCTTTCCTGTCTTTAAAAGATATGGAATCTAAAATATTATTTATTATGTCAATGTTAATTCTAGATATTTAATTGTGTAGTTCTCGTAAAATTAACTCTTATAATTTAACTCCAATTCTTATTTTACGCTCACCGAAAGGACCTGATCAAACACAACTGATTTAAGCTCTAATTAATTAATTCTTGCACAGGTCAACTCTTGACAGTTCAGTGGATATAGTAAAAAATGCACTCTTAAATTAATTAAAATTATTCAAAGTTTTCAATAATTAATTTCTTTGACATGTCGTTAACATCGTTAATCGTTAAAATAATTATAATTGACTATTTTGACCGATTATCATTTTTATTTTATATAGAATATCAAAATTTTCATTTTTGTCACTTATGTAATTTCTTGTGGTCGCATCACAACGAGTTTATTGTTAAACTCATGACCTCGGATTAAGTTGCCCATTAGAAAGATACTTTTATTGACAATTTACTTGTTATGAAAATATGTTCATTAATTAGTCCATTCTAATTCCCGAAGTAACGAGGTGTTGATTATATATTAATATCATCTTTTGTTACCTCAAAGAACTTGAATTAATAATTAACGTTCATAAATCTTTCAGGATTCAGATATATGTTTGACTGTCAATAACATTTAATTTTTCTTGGTCGTCACATTATTGAAACATTACTTGGTCTCCAGTTCAATAATTATTATCTTTATTAAGAAAGTTTAGACAAACTTTAATAAAGATAATACAACTTTAACAAAATAAAGTGTCCGATTTTATTAATGGTCGCTAATGATTGTTTTTTTAATCACTTTATAAATTGAATCTTTTCGTACTCAAAGATACATACAGAACTCTTCAAAAAGTCGTATGTACAAGTACTCAATGTATGTCATCATAAAATATTTTATTATTTGCTCAAATATAAAATGCAATTTTAATAAAAATCATATAACTATAAATTAATATTTATCTACAATATATTAAAGTTAAATACCTAATTTACCCTTAGATATTTAATTATATACATAATATACCCTTATTTATTTTTAGTTTTGCTAATAATTAATCAGTAACATGAATTCCTTATATATTTAGATATATGCACAGTATACCCTTTATTTAATTTTAGTTTTGCTAATAATTAATTAATTCAATTTATTCAAAATGAAATTAAAAGGAAAAAAACCTTTTCTTTTTCATTTGCCAATAATTCCCTAAATTAATTATTAATATTATATTAATTTTTATTAACAGATTTTATTATAAAAATATAAGTTCAATTTCATCCTTCCGTTGAATTAATCAGTTTAGAAAAATAACATACATATTTCCTTATTTAAATAGCCATTTCATTTGGTTGTTTCACAAATATCCTAAGAAGTAATATATTTAATGCAATAAAATTAATGCATACAAAATGTTACTGTATAATTTGATAAAATTTTATTTTATATTTTATGTATCCTTATTAAATGTAGTTTTAATTGATAGTTATATATGAATCCCCATGATGCCTAAGTTTAAATAAAAAGGGAATACCAAATTATAGGGTAATTATATTCCCACTAATATTTTTATGTGGAAATTGGATTAAAGAGCCTATTTCATTATATGCTTTGGGATTTTAGCCTTCGACAAGAGTTAGGGGTTTAAAATAAATATTTTAATTCAAAATTAATAAACTACTCAATCTACCTTCGTTCCATCACAGTAAGCCCCCATTTGGCCCCCATTCTTTCTAAATTTTAATGATTGGAATAGTTTTTGAAAAATGCGTGGTTGAAAAAGAATAAAAAAAAAATTTATTTGTGTGTAATATTATTTTATGGAAGATTGTGTAATTAAAAATAAAATAGAGCAAAAGAATGAGAAAGAGAATGAGGGTCAAATTTTCCTTCTCCCTTACCCAAATTGATTGAAACCCTTCAATCCTAAGTTCCTCTCCTTGCTCGAAGACATCAATTCCTTCCTCTAGGTTAGCTTGGGTGTAAGCACTCTTGAATTTTGATTTGGCAGATTTCCATTTGTTGTTGGTAGAGGAGGAAATTGGGCAAATCTCATGTGGACAATTTATTTGTTTGATCTTCCCATATCTTTGTAAATGGTAGACCAAATTCTCAGCCATTGGTTCATTTTCCATGTGTGAGTAAAGAGATCAATGATTTGATGCTTGACGGAGAAATGGAACACATGCCTAGGGATGATTATCTCAATGGACTCAGGACTGGAGATTTGGATATGAGTGTGAGAAGAGAGACTATTGATTGGATATGCTAGGTGAAGTGATTATTTGAGATTTTATTTGATTTTTTCTTGATCATTTGTAAAATCGATCAAACTGACTTTGATTTTTTTCCTGCCCTTGGATCAAATTCATTAGATTTCTCCATTGATCAACATCTGTTTTTCATTTTTTTTTTTAAACTCTAATGCTCTTTTAATGCTTGTTGATTTTTCTCATCAATTTTCTAAAAATGGGGTTTTCCCTTATTAATTAGTTTTCATCTAAAAATGAAAATAAAGTGCCCAATGGATTTGCTGTGATTTATGATAATTCATTAATTTAATGTTTTCTTGGCCAATGCAATTCTGTTGACCTTGTTTTCGATTAGAGCTTAGTGGACAACAGATGTCGGACCCACTCATGCACACATCAGCTGAATCCTACACGCAAAGGTTGATGAACAGTCAAAAGCACTCCAAAATGATGTGTAGGAACAGCTCTTAAAACACGAGACTATAGAATGCAGAATCCGGCATGGTGTATTAGGAGTGATCATGCAAGTATTAACGATCGCGGATAATAATATCATAGAAAGGAAGAAAGCAAAACGAGAGGCATTATGTGTTGCATTAATTTATGTTTTGTATTCAAAGTTTCATTAGTCCTCAAGTGTTACATGGAAGGAGGATATTTATAGTAGTGCAAGTGAAATGGTGGCCCTCGAACGGATATACACGTAACCTCATCTCTTTAATTTAAACATCTATTCGTAGCCATCACTTTGACTTTCTTAGCTTGTGGTGCATTTAAT